TTTTTTTTTTTTCTTTCACTGTGAAAGAAAACACTTTTTCTGGCAATCAAAATTGTGGACAAATATTTGTTAATATATATATGTTAACAGAAATCTATCAATTTTTAGAAAGCGCTATCAAATATTCGCGGTACATTTATAATGTTGATCGTTTTATGATGACGCTATACAAGTGGGCCATTCCACGCCAAATCGCACAAGTTTGAACCTCGACTTCTCAGATTTTTTTCTTTTTTTACCAACTTGTAGCACTCAATACCGGATTTGAAAATCAAAAGAGCTTACTTCAAGAAGTGCGCTGGCGGCAAAGTTAAACCGTTCTAAAGTGCGAAAAAAAGACGCAATTCATCTTCGACATGGTCACCTTTAACAATTTATATGCCTCGCAGTTCACAACGAATTTTTCTCACTTTTAATCCATTTGAAAGCTTGTCTCCTGATTCAGATCCAGAAGAATAGTAAAACGCCTATATTAGCAAATTTGACTCTAAAGTAAAATAAAAACAAAAATTTGAAACGTTTTTTCTCAAAAAGCAACATTTTAAATTTTTTAAAAGAAAAGTATTTTTTAAAGAAATATTTTTTACACAAAATTTAAAAATTACAAGGTGGTATCTTTACGGGATCAACAGTTACGGTAAGATTAGTGGCAGCAGACTGCAAAAAACCCTAAGTTGAAGCAGCATTTTGGTGTTTTCGCAAGCCTTAGAACCTCTGTTTCCACTAGAATTTCATTTGTTTTTGTAGTATATGTAACTCTTGTAGAATTTTTCAACGCTACCACTTCAGTGACGGACAATTAGTTGAAATTTATTCACTTCTAAACAATTTCACAAAAATTTTTTTCAGAAAAATTTGCTATTATGATTACTTTTTCTGTCTGTATGGCTTTATTTGCTTATTGAACCCTTCTAACCCAAATATATCACACTCAGGACTTTGTTTGACTGCGGGTATTGTTTTGCTATCTTTGTTGTCAACGTTTTGTAGTATACTGCAATGAAATTCTTTATGCATTCGACTGGCGAATCTACGCAAAAACGTGATGCTGAAAGTGCTTCTTTCCTTTCATACTTTTTTGAAAGTAATAAAATCATTACGAGTATGTTGTTCTTCTGTTGTTGCAGCAGTACATCAG